CTACAAGGTTTCAGAAAACTATGACTAAGTTTTAATTTTCAAAAAACTGAGGGGCTACATATTGAGTGGACTAATTGCCACATTATAACATTATCCCCAAATGGATGTAATGTTATATCCTCGCAAGTGTGTATGCTCTGTCACAATGACAGAAAAGAATATTCTTTTGCACACATAGTAAGTTTTGCTTTGTTACTAAAAAACAAAGATCCTTTCAAAGGTTTGTTGAATTTTATTTTGTATATATGATACAAATTTTATTTTCTTTTTTTTTGGGGGGGGAGGCTGGGAGGAGGCAACAAGGCCTATAAGACTCTTATGTAGTCCTAATAAAGTAATGAAACATTACAATTTTTTTCATTCTATAGAAAATTATTCTAGAACTATGCTATACATTATTTAAATGAATTCACAAGCTAAAAGTACAAGTTATTTGTTGTTTGTTTTTTCTCAGTAAGCCTAAAAAATGGAATGTTTTATATGGCACACAATCCAATATTAGGTTGAAAATAGAATTATAAAGCATCCAGTTCCCCTTCAACTTTTAGGCATAAAAATGACAGTGAGAACCATGATTTTATTAATAGAATAGAAAACAGGAGTTTTGGCTCGTGTTTCTAGTAGTCCTAAAATTTATGCTGCTTCTTCCTTGTCAGCATCAAATATAGTGCAGTGAAAATTTCCAGTGCAATTATGATGATAGTATATATGCAAACTCTATCTCCTAGGAGAGTGTACCTCTTACAAAGAAGATGTTCATCTTTTTCTTACCTGACTCATCTGTATTAATCTTTTTGTTTGTGGCAATAGAGATCCAATATTTGCTGTCAAGTTAAGAAAATATAACAAAAATATTATGACTGTAGCTCCTTTGAAACAAGAGTTCTCATGTATGTAATTTTGCTATGTAACCTACAAAAACTTAGCTTCTTCCCTCAATTTAGTAGAAGATAAAACTCAAGAGTAGACTCAACCAAAAAACTGTTCATTCTCTCTGGAAGTTTTGTATATGGGTTCATTTCCCTCAGGGGAAAATGCTCTTATTCAACCTTCAAATACTTTTCTCTTCCCAGGTCATATACCTGTTTTTCACATTAACCCACCATTGTTTAATCTTTAACTCTGCAGAAAAGTTTGACTTGTTCACTCCCTGGGAGAATTTGGTTTGTACAAAGGTATAGGTGTGTGGTTTTGTCTCACTTGCCCTAACATGTCTTTCAGTCATTCTCTATGACTGTTTCTCTTCTCAATAAATTGTTCATACACCTGAGATAGACTTAACTGTGCTCATTCAAAACCTGTGCACATGCCAAGAACTATTTGTTAAAAAAAATAAGGGGATACTGATTGGTTTAAAATCAGGAAAAGTGTGCACCAGGGTTGTGTCTTTTATCCATGCCTATTCCGTCTGTATGATGAATAAATCATTCAGTATGCTGGATGATATGAAAAAGCATATGGCATTAGGATTAGAGGAAGACTCATCAACAAACTATGCTAAGCAGATGACACAACCTTAGTGTAGAAACTGAAAAAGATTTGAAGCGCTTAACTGAGGAAGATCAGACTACAAACTTCATTATGGATTACATCTCAGTATCAAAGAAACAAAAATCCTAAAAAAAAAAAAAAAGTAGGGAAAAATATTCATGGTAGATGGAGAAAAATTTAAAATTGTCAACAATTTCATTACTTGGATCTACAATCAACACCAATGGTATCGGCTGCCAAAAAATAAAAAATTTTTTAAAAATTAAAAATTTTTTTAAAAAAACCCAAAACCAACAAACATGTTGCATTGCAAAAGTTTTCTTCCCAGGACCTCAGTAAAAAGCTAAGGAGATAGGATGTCAGTGTAAAGACTAAGGTGTGCCTTATCCCAGGCATGTGGTTTTCCGTTGTTTCCTGTGCATCTGAAAGTTGAACAGTGACTAAGGATAACAAATGAAGAAACAATGCCTTTAAATTGTGATATTGGAGAAGTCCCCTATCACTTGAACTGCCAAAAGAACAAACAGATAAGTCTTGGAGAAAGTGTAGCCAGGGTGCTCCTTAGAGACAAGGATGATGAAACTTGAATTCACATACTTTAGACATGTTGCCAGGAGGGACCAGTTCTTAGAAAAAGAAATCACCCTGGAAAAGCAAATCAGTTTAAGAGAGGTAGACCTTGAATAAGATGGATTGACACCGTGACTGCAGCAATGGACATAAGCATGGTGAGAATGGGGAAGGATAGGGCAAACTTTTGACCTGTTTATAGGATCCCTATGAGTCATCATCTACCTAAGAATTATAACAACTCTAGAACAAAATGGCTAATATCAGGGAAATTACAGGGCCTCAGATATTCTAGAAAAAAATTTTTCTTTAAAATATAATTTAAAAATTTTTCTTTAAAATATAATTTAATATGTAAGTCTTCAAGTAAATAGCTATATATAGAGGATTAATCATTTAGCCAAGCTCAAGTGCAAGAATATTCTTAAAATGAACAAAAAGATAATTTAAGTGAAATAGACTGCATTTTTAAACTGAGAGACAGACATCTAAGTCACGTGTTAGTAGAATTTTATACAAATACAACTTAATCAGTAAAATGTTTTTGTTGTTTTGACTTCTGTTTTCCCCATCCAAATTAGAAGTCATAACTACTGCTCACAGATGAGATTCAGCCCTCTGCCTGTTTTTATATAACTCTCAAGTTAAAAGTGGTTTTTACTTTTTTAAATGGTTGGGAAAATTAATAAATATTTCATGGCAGGTAACAATTACATTGAATTCAAACTTCAGAAATCTATGATTGTAGCATTAAGATACATGGTTTAGTCCATTGCAATAATAATGCAGAAGAGGCAATAAATAGATGAATATAAATTTTCCCTTAGTTACTCATTTTGGACATACTTTGGACTGTATTGTTTTGAAGTACAAGAAATAAGTGAGGTAAAATTTACAAGGAAAGGCTTGAATAGTTTGAACCTAAAACTTATTTCCTCCAAATTGATCCAACTCATAAGCAACTCCCTTGAACAGAGAACTTCAAGACCGTAAATCTTTATTGAAGCATATAGTCACATTTTTCTCCCATGGAGCAGCTTCTGGGTTCAAACTGTGGACCTTTCAGTTGAAACACATCCATTGGCATACCATCTATTCCTGGGGCCTTATTTCTTGCCATTGCCTTCAGTGCAGCTTCAATTCTTATTTCATGATCACATAATATTTCCATCTTGGCCAATTCTTTTTGGTACAGTGACTCTGTATCCCTTCTTCTTTTGATGTTTCCTGGGGATCATTCAAGATTTTGCCCATAGCATCTCTTTAAGTATTGCAACTCAAGGATTGAGCTTTGATTTTTGTTTTGTTTTTACTGTGTTTGAGAAAATGGCACAGAAATCATTTGTGATGCCTTCCAGAGGGCAAAATTGTTATCATTGATGATTCTCAATTCCCTTTTAGCTGAGAGATCCAATAGATATTGTTTTGTAAATTTTACTCCTTTTTTTCCCCCAAAATGTTCAGATTATGCTAAGGGGTTTTCTAGTGAGTTCTTTGCTGTCTGGCACTTAAAGTTTTATTTCTGCTAACAGTTTGATTTCTAGAGGCATCACAGTCATGAGTATTACCAGATTACTGACAATTCTGGAAACTTTATTCAACAGTACTCTTTCTTTCCCCTTTATTTTTTGTGTGTGTACTGTCAGATTGGATCTGACAGGTACAAGAGGAGATTGCCCCTCCTTCTCCAGCAGAGCATCTTGTGGGATTTGACCCACACACTTCTGGGATTGCAGTACAGCTTCTTGCCAGTAGGCCACCAGAGCGCCCTTCGACTGTGCTCTTATAACAAAGGCACTGACGATTTGATGTAAAGAATTCAAGTTTCTGCTGCAGTTTAAAGAATGTATCTTGTGCACGAGACTTTTAAACAGTTGTAATATTTAAATTGTGAAAGTGCTTAAAGAGCAAGGATATCAGTTTTAAAGACTAAGATATGCCTGATGAAGCTTATTTTCACTTCTTCATATATATTTGAAAGTTTGACAGTGAATACAAAAGATTAAAAAAGAGTTGGTGCCTTTGAAATGTGATGTTGGTGAAGAATAATGATGGGCTGTCAAAAGAACATTCAACTATCTTGGAGGTAGTGCGGCCATGGTACATGCCAGGACAGAAGGACTTTGTCTCACATATGCTGGCCATGTTATCAAGAAAGGATGAGTTTTTGGGAAAAAACATAATGTTAGGAAAAGTGGACAGTCTGAGTAAGAATGGAAGACCCTCAGTGAGATAGACTGACACAGTGACAGTTTCTCTAGGCTTACGTAGTCAAAGATGATGAGGCTGACTCAGGATAGGTCACCGTGAGTCATAGTTAACTTGACAGCACCTAGCAACAACATACAAGTGGGAGCTAATGTTTTGCTTTTTATACTTGAGAGATGTTAAGTGCTTAATCTTCTAAAATATAAAATTGCTAGAGATAATTGTTGTTTTTGTATAATCCAAACTTTTCTTACTAATACTTTCTGAGAGTACAACCAGAAACAGAAAATTGGCAGTTATATTAAAACTTCATTTAAATGTACAAAGAACAGAGGATAAACTAGATAATTGGCACTTCCTAAATATTAAATGGAAAGGCCCTCAATGTCATGAATTGAACAAGTGCCTTCCCAACATTGGCCTTGAGCAATGATG